TGCTCCTGTTAAAGTCTTACTGGCATAATATACTGCATGTAAAATCTTATTCCTTCTTTGACCTAACATGACTCCTAAAGCATAATCACTAGCATCGCACATAAGTTCAAAGGGTAATTCCCAGTTAGGTTCTATAATGATTGGAGCTGAGCTGAAAGCAGTTTTTAAAGTTTCAAAAGTTGTCATGCAAGCATTATCAAATATAAATGGTCTATCATTTTCCAAAAGTTAGCAAAGAGGTTTCAAAGTCTTTGCAAAATCTTTTATAAAACGTCTATAGAAACCCCCATGGCTTAAAAAACTTCTTATTCCTTTAACATTTGTAGGAGGTGGTAATTTTGAAATAACATCAATTTTAGCACGATCCACCTCAATCCCATTTTTCGAAATCTTATGGCCTCGAACTATCCCTTCTCGTACCATAAAATGGCACTTCTCCCAGTCTAAAACAAGATTGGTGTCCTCACATCTTTGTAAAACATTTTCTAAATTCAATAAAGAATCATCAAAAGAATTTCCAAAACCTGAAAAGTCATCCATAAAAACCTCAAGAATATTTACTACCATATCCAAAAAAATGGCCATCATACACCTTTGAAATGTCACCGGTGCATTGCATAGACTGAAAGGCATACGCCTAAAGGCAAATGTCCCATACGGACAAGTGAACGTCGTCTTCTCCTAATCCTCCGGAGCGATGGTAATCTAGTTATATCCCGAATATCCATCTAGGAAGCAATAAAACTCCTTACCTTGCAAGACGATCTAACATTTGATCAACAAACGGAAGTGGAAAATGATATTTCTTCGTTACGTTGTTTAGTTTGTGATAGTCGATTCAAACTCTCCACCCGCTCACAGTCTGGGTTGATATAAGTTCATTTTCCTCATTTACCACCACCGTCATCCCGCCCTTCTTTGGTACGCATTGTACTGGGCTCACCTAGCTACTATCTGATATAGGGTAGATGACTCCAGCGTCTAACCATTTCAAGATCTCTTTTCGAACAACCACTTTCATTTCTGGATTCAAACATCTCTGATTCTCTATTGAGTTGACTTTCTTCCAATAGGATCTTATGCATGCAGAATGTAGGGCTTATCCCTTGAATATTGGCAATGGTCAAACCAATGGCCTTCTTGTATTTGGTCAATATCTGCAATAATGAAAGCTCATTTTCAGTCGATAAACTAGAAAAAATAATAACAGGCAAAGTTTCATTAAGTCCAAGATAAGCGTATTTCAAGTGAGAAGGTAAAGGCTTTTGTTCCAAAGTGTGCGGTTCCACAATAGATGGTTGCAATGTTTTGTACACTTCTGCCTTTATATCATCTTTATCCTATAGTGGATACGTCTCTGTAGTCATTTTCGGGGATTCATCTTCTGTAGCTTCTTGTTCTTCCTCAATTCCAACGACTAAAAGATCATAAAACTCATCAATCAGAGCAGGGTTCGAAGTACTAATGGCTGAAAATTCTTCTAGATCTCCTGGAAGTTTCATTGCATCCAACACATTAAATTTCACCTCCTCATTATTAACCTTCATTGTTATTTCTCTTTTTCGAACAAAACACTATATCTCCTCTAGCTAGGAAGGGTCTACCTAAGATGATAGCTACATCAAAATCGGTCTCACAGTCTAAGATGATGAGGTCTATAGGGAAGATAAACTTATCTACCTGAACTAGAACATCTTCTACTTTTCTTTCAGGCTTCTTAATGGATATATCCGTTAATTGGAGGGTAACTGTAGTAGGTCTAGCTTCTCCTATGCCAAATTCTTTGAAAACAGATAGGGGAGAAGCCAAATTCTTTGAAAACAGATAGGGGCATTAGGTTAATGCTAGCACCTAGGTCGTATAAAGCTCTACCTAAATTCTTTCCTCCAATAGAACAAGGGATGGCAAAACTGCCGGGATCTTTACATTTTATGGGGAAAGGGCTACCTACAGCTTCACTACTACACTTGGTCATAGCTACCATCTCATGTTCACCTAAATTCTTTTTTGTAGACACAATATCCTTTAGGAACTTAGCATAATTCGGTATTTGTTCTAAGGCATCAACTAAAGAAATGTTTATATGAAGTTGTTTGAGGATGTTTAAAAACTCTCTAAATCGAGTTTCTTGGTTTTTCTTGGCTAATATTTGAGGGAAAGGAGGAATCGGGGCAAAAGATTAATTTTTTTGTGAAGAGGCGTCAGGCGCCTCCCCCTCACCCGAGGTGGTTTTTTCTTTCTCTGCTTCACTAGGGGCATTTTGAATTGATGTGAAAGGTTTCTCTACCTGAACCGGTATCTTTGGTCCTTCGTAAGACAATCCACATCTCAAAGTTACCGCCTTGCATTACTCTTTTCTTCTATTTTTGGAACTTCAGTATGCCCAGGAAAAGAGCCTTGCGGTATCGCCTTCAAATCATTGGCAAGCTGTCCCACTTGCCTCTCTAGGTTTCTCATCGCTATATAATTTCGAGCCATGTACTCCTTCATTATATTCTCGAGCCTAGAATTAATTCTAGGCTCGCTGAATTGGAACTTGTTGATTCTGAATAAACTGCTGCGGTGGTGGTCGATTATTCGGGTAAATAGGTGGAGCATATGGCTGCTTGTACTGCTGGTTCTGCCCTTGGGTCGCTCCACGAGAACTTTCTTGACCTCCCCATGAAAAGTTGGGATGATGTCTCCACCCTGGATTGTACGTATTTGAATAGGGGTTGAAATTTCGATTGTTCCCGTGACCTACATATTAAACAGAAGCTTGATCATGCAGACAATTCTCATAAAGATGATTATCATTATAATAAGAATAAACAATTTCAGTACTTTGGCAAACAGGGGAAGGGGCAGTATATTCAGGTTGCACAAGTTGCACAGGTTGCACTGGTGTATTCTTCCTGTCCAAGGCCATCTCCTTGAGCATTTGGTTTATTGTCACCATCCCTTTTTGCATCGAAGTTGCAATGTCCAATGCCAACACTCCTGTTGTGTCTTGCTTCTTTGGTGCAGGTTTCGACCTTTGAGAACACCATAGCTCGTTGTAGGAAGCTAGGTCCTCCAAAATATCAACTATTTGTTGAAGGTCTTCTTCGTGAAGGCTCCATTTGCAGCATTGTTGAGCATCATCTTAGTGTGATGGTCCAAACCTTAAAAGAAGTGCTCGATCTGGATACATGCTGGTAATTCATGGTTTGGACACTTTCGCAGCAACTCTTTGAATCTCTCTCATGCCTCGTGCAGGTTCACGATTGTATTGTCTAAAGCCACGTTATCGCCTGGTCCCTGAGGGAAAATGGGAAAAGAGTTAATCTCAAAGTATCATCAGAAATATCAAGCAATCTAAAAGCATTTGCAAATTTGAAGAAATGTCTTGAGATGGTCATGAGGATCTTCATGTTCGCGCCCTCCAAATTGTCCTAATTCTGAAGCATTTGAAACATAAGTGGCTTAAGCTCGAAGTTGGAAGTTTCTGGAATAGGGTTCAAAATGACCGAATCCAAGTTCTGGAATGATGTAGCTGCATACTCTCCCATTGCTACGTCTCTATTATCCCCCATGTGGATATGGTTGAAATCCCTATAGTTTTGTTGTCCTCTTCCTTGCCCTGCCATATTGTCGTTAAGAACTGGTGGATCTGCAGGATTTTGTACTGGAATCTCGTCCATAATGGTGATTCTTTCTTTTTCTTTCTTTTTTTGCTTTTCTCTCTGTGTTCTGAGTCTCTGTTCTTTTCTCAACCTACGACAGGTTCTCTCAATTTCAGGATCAAATGACAATAGAAATTTATTCGTGCTCATGCACTAATTAATGACCTTCGTGGTTGGATATAAATCAAAATGTTTGAGAACAGAAACGACAATCACAAAAACCGATCACAAAAAATTAATATAAGACTAAAACAAATCTTCCCTAGCAACGACGCCAAAAACTTGTTTGGGATTTTGGATTCAAAATAAATGAGAGCGCAAGTGTACACCCGTCACAAGTAGTAAAACGGAATGAGTATTCCAAGTATCGATCCTCAGGGACAAATGAATTGGCAACCTTCAATGCATGGAAGACACGTGGAAGGGCTTGGAGAAGCTTCAAATCACACCAAAATGTGTCTTTTACATTAAGGGCATTCTCAGGATCGGGGAAGGCGTCAGGTGCCTAGCTTGGAATTTTTCTGCACAAAATTGTAATTTCTGTTAGAAATCAACTCTAAATAATGTAAAAATGACTTATGTGCATGTATAACCAAAGATAACTTCAAATGAAAAGTTTTGGACACTAAACCAAGCTTAAATCACTGTTTTCGAGTTTAAAACGTTAGAAAACAGCACCCATTTAGCTTCTTTTTACCCTTACAAACAAGGAAAATCAGCAGGTGGGCGTACGAGTGGCATCGCATTGGCGCGCACATGGAGAGGTAGTGTGCGGCATGGGGCACGCAGGCAGGGGCGTGGCGCAGTGAGCGTGAGCGTGCAGCAAGGGCATTCAGCATGGGCAGCCGGTAGGGCATTAGGCGAGCGCACGTGCTGGCGGGGGTGTTGGCAACATCCATGTGGTTGCAG